TACATGTCACAAACTGTTACCAGCAGTGATTCAACACGAAGTGAAAACATAATGTGTAATAAAATGGGAGTTTTTTCTTGTGCCACCTTTGTCTTGCCTGTCAGGCTGTTGCATTGTGTGCCATGGGCACATCGTTGGAGGCACAGCATCTCTACAGCACAGGATTGACGGATGGTGCAGATCAGCTGTCTGCTCACACTGCAATTGAGAAGTGTGCAGCCATGCAATTTAGTAGAGAAGTGCATGCAGACACCACTGAATCCAAAGCCAGGATCCCCAGCTGGATTTTATTTTCATATAAACTTTCTTGGATCCTGTTAGACCTGTCACAGTCGGTGTATATTGGGTCAACAATTGAGGGTTTGTATTTACAGTAGTTATGATGTTATCCTAAGCACACCAAATCTGGATTTCTCCAGTTGGTCGACAGAGGCCTGGTCAGACTCGTAGTTCTTCCATTCAAGCCCCAGTGAAATGTTTTTCTCAGCTCAAATCTCAGAATATTCTTGCATTTGAGCAGTGTTTTGGAAGCAGCCATCTCAGGTGTAGGTATTGGAGTTTATTTGCTTTTCTGTAGGCAGGTTATTACAGTATCAGGCATGTAAATATCTGGATTTGTGATACCAGAGAAGGGTACTTGGTCTTAGAAAATGCAAAGGAGATGGACCTCATAAGATGTTTGGTTGTGGTCCTAGGAATTAGGGGGAAAGAAGGTGGTCCCAGTGACTTGCCTGAAGGTCTCACTTTCACCAGGCAGTAAAATACCAGATCAAATTCCATAAAATGAATGTAACATGGTCCACAGAGGGAACAACAATACTCATTTTCAGTAGGCAGCAGTGGGCTCTGCATGGACTAGTGCCACTCAGGTACAATCTGTCTCAAGCAGAATACAGTAGACTTGAAAAAACCCCCAACAAAACCAAACCCAAAACTCACAGAAGGGCAGCAATGGTGAGCAGAGGTGCAGACTGGCTGCTGCAGGAAGAATAACTACATAGGCTGGGACTCTTCAGCCTGAAACACCTGAGGTGCATATGACTGAGTTATGAGGGACAAGGATTACAAGAATAGAGGCATCAAGTGAAATTAGCAGGAGGTAAAATCAGTAAAAGGGTGATACTTCCTCCCTCATCTTGGCATTAAGCTGCTTCGACAGACTGCTGTGGCTGCTCGGTGCTAATAGGGGTTAAGAAATCCCATAGAATAAATCTGTGGAAGGAAAATTTCTTGAGGTTTACTCAGGACAAAGATATTACCTTTGGTTCAAGAGGCCTCTGAGCTACAAAAGAATACTCACTGTGTGCATGCACTCATCTCACACCCTTTGCTGTGACCTGGCTGCCCCTAAGTGTGGACGGTAGGACACTAGGTTGGGAAGTCCCAAGGTGGCATTCTCCTGCTTCCATTTCTGATAGGAGGAGGGCTTTAAAGTCCCACAGCTCAAGGAAACATGAATTCAAGTCCCAGCATATGAATTATACGTTATTTTACCATCCCTCACCATGGGCCCTATCTCTCAAGAGCTATCTTGAGAAAGGTGTCTAGAACAGGTGTGTCACTGTGTCAGGCCTGAAACTGCCTGGTTTCAGATTCCCAAATACAGGAAAGACACTGATATACTGGAGTGAGCCCAGTGAAAGCCACCAAGATGGTTAAGAGAGCTCAACACATGACATAGCAAGAGAGGAAGACAGAAACTGGGGTTTAAGTCTTCAAGGGGGGGCTAAATGCAGACTTTCTTGTTTTCTTCAACTAATTCACAGGAGGGTGTGGATAAGACAGAGCCAGCCACTTCCCAGAGGTCCAGAGTGATAGGGCAACAAATGCAAGTGGCAAGGAAGAAAGTTCTGAATAGACGTTAGGAAAAGAAATTGCCCCATGAGAGGGGTAAGAGTCCCCTCTAAGGGTCCCAGAGAGGTCAGTGATCTCCATCCTGGGAAACAATCAGCTGTGGATGGGACAAGGTGCCAAGCAACTGATTGACGCCCTGCTTGGAGTGGGAGGCTGTACCAGAGACCTGCAGAGGTCCCTTCCCACCCCAGTCACATGATGGTTCTTTGCCTCACCCCAGAAGTGGAGAGAAACCTGGATGTTGAGTGCAGGTTTAGCTTGGCTGTGGTGAGGTGAAGCCTGCCGTGGTGTTTGATCCTACCCCCACACGCACAGTGAATGCATTTTTTTCCTGCCCTCTTCAGGCTCTGAATGGTTCTCGTGCCTGTCGCCTGTCATCCTGCTGAGACATCAGCTTCCTCCTGCAGCATCTGTTTTCCTGTCATTTGTTCACAGAGAGTGACAGTGCCCTCTGCTCTCATCTCCATTTGGAAATGTGCTCTCTCTCACCATTTAATTTTTGAAGCCTAAGCCAGAGCCAGGCACCAGGCTTCAATCCTTGTTAGCAAGGCTTTTGTCCTCTGCCTGCAAATCCAGCACTGGCTCACAGCGAGAGCGGCAGATGTTTTCTCACGCCTTTCACACAATGTATCCTTCCCTTTCCACCCTGCAAGCATTCACATAAGTTCCTCCCTTTCTAATATCACAGGCTCGTTCCTGCTCTCCAACATGATGTCAGCAAGTCCTCCCCCCCCCCTTCCCGTTCTTTACTAAACATTCAAGCAGACTGTGCCAGTGAAGGGCTCTTACAGAGGACAAGCATGACATCTTTTGTCTGGATATTTGATGGAGGATGCTCTTTCCAGAACCTAGAGAAGCAGTCCATAGGGAAAAACAGCAACCTGCAGCTATTTGAAGAGATGCTGCATCAACCAGAAGTGTCATCTTTAGCTCCAGGAAGGTGCCAGGGTTAATTTCATGATCATTTTTATTAGCTACCAGCACTGTATTTATAATAATTCCGCATGACAGGCATGACAGGGAGCTACTGGCACATACTCAGCCAGAACCTTCATTTGCAATACATTTATTTTAAACCTTCAAGGGTGTATTTCCAAATGCCTGGCTGGACCCTCTAGAAATTAAGAAAATGAGGATCTGTGTGATCTCAGAGACAGCTGAGGAGGTAAGAACAAAGAAAGGCCCTACAACTCTATGCTAAGTATCACTTTCCCTGTATTCAGGAAAGGAAAAGACCAGTCTCTGTAGGAGCAGGAATTGCTCTGGATCGTGTTAGATGTATCACATTTTCCTATCTCTGCAGGAGCACAGTGTGAGCATCCCATTCTGCACAGAGGAAAAGATGTGGAAGGGAAAGGTTGTAGAGGGAGAAAATCCTTCCTCCATCTACCAGTAGGGTTTGGCTTTTTGCTCTTTATTCCCATCCCTTTTAAGAGGAAAGCAGCAGGTAGAGGTTCATCCCTCAGCCTTGCTTAATCACTCTGACCCTGTGGCATGGCTCAGCTCTGCCCTGGGTTCCCTACAGAATCCTGTGGAGTTGATCCATGACTGCTCTCAGCAATGACTGCTTTTCCGTGCCATCCCACAGAACTGCCTGCACCTTTCCACACTGCCACTGAAGGCACTTGGGAGAGGCACCCCTAATGGCCTTGCTTTTTCTTCATCATCCTCCATCATAGCCACTGCTGCAGCCTCAGTGGGGGGAAATATCAGCAGGGGAGCAAGAGTGTCTCTCACAGCTTCTACTCCAGATAGTCTGCCGTCCCTTTTGTGCGGGAGTCCTGGTCCCATCACTCCTGGCACCATGGGGATCTGCTGCCCAGGACCATTGGCTTGTGGAGAAGCCAGCCTGGTGGGAATTTGTCTGCCCTGGGGCTGGGAACTCATAAGTGGGGCACCCCCAAGTCCTGAGCCCAGACCTGCTTCATCCCAGTTGGCTTTGTGTCACACTCCCTCCCCAGTCACTTTGAAGTACTTTGGGAATGACGAGCAGTCACTCCCTGGTCAATCCCCTGTCCTCTATTTCTAGCTCCTTTCTGTGGGGTCATAGAATCACAGAATGATTTGGTTGAAGGGACCTTAACGCTCCTCCAGTTATAACCGCTACCACGGGCAGGGACACCTTCCACTAGAGCAGCTTGCTCCAAGCCCCTGGGTCCAACCTGGCCTTGAACACTGCCAGGAATGGGGCAGCCACAGCTTCTCTGGGCACCCTGACCCTAACCCTAACCCTCACCACCCTCACAGGGAAGAATTTTTGCCTAATGTATAATCTCAGTCTCCTCTCTGGCAGGTTAAAGCCATTCCTGTTTGTCCTGTCCTTACAGGCCTTTGTCCAAAGACCCTCTCCAGGTTTCCTGCGTGACCACTTTAGGTACTGGTCCTCCCATCTCTTCAAAAGTTATGAGTTTTGGTTTAATGAGTCTGACCTTACTTACCCTAACTTTAGAAATGAAAGTCACAGTTGCAGGAGTAACAAGTCCTGGTGCTCACCACCGTGTCGTTTCCCCTGCGGAACCAGGGCATCCCCAGCCACCCCTGTTTTGCCCTGTCACAGAGGGGCTTGTGCAACCTCCGGGCGGTCTGGCCCAGAGCCACCTCCTCTGGGCCCCTCGTGATGCCCGGCCCAGCTGGCGGGGATTTCTCAGAGGCAGCCCAGCACGGTTTCCATCTGCCTGTCGGAGGAGAGCTGCGGCTCCACTATGAGCCTTGGGGCTGCAGCTCCCGGGGAGAGGGGTGAGGACACCCGCAGGGAGAGAGGTGAGGACACCCGCAGGGAGCGGGTGAGAAGAGTTAGGGTGGGGAGGGAATGAGGACACCCGTGGGAATGGGGAGAAGGTCACCAGTGGAGAGGGGGCGAGGATCCCTGTGGGGAGGGTTGAGGACACCCGGGCCGGGGAAGGTACGGGCGGGCAGCCGCGGTGCCTCCTGCAGCGTCCCGGGACAGAGCTGTGCAGGGCAGGGCCGGCCCGGGCTAGGAGGCAGCCCCGGCGTCGTTCGGCACCGCCCCGCGCGGTTCCGCTGTGGGAGCGGGGCGGGCCCGGCAGCGCGGAAGTGCGGGATCGGCGGCGACTTCGTCGGGCGCCGGGTGAGTGTGGGGCCGTGGCCCCGGCCCGCGCGGGCTGCTCGGTGAGCCGGATCCCGCACGGAGCCCACCGTGCCCGACCGCTGCTGCGCCGGGTGAGCGGCCCTGCCGCCGGGCCCGAACCGCCCCCCGAGCTCTGGGCGCTGCCGTCCCGGCCGCCGCAGGTGCCGCCGCTGCCGCTTCCCCGGGAGAGGAGTCGCTGAGGAGCCGGCTGAGAAGCGATGCAGGAAGGTGAGCGGCTGCCTGGGAGCCATCGGGCAGCGCTGCCTGAGCACTGACTCCTTTTCCCCTGCAGAGAAAAGTGCTGCCCCCCTTGCCCTTGGGAGATGACCCAAGAGCCCCCGGGACAGCCCCAGGGCACGGAAGGCCGAGCATCCCTTGTTTTCCAAATGTCCTGTCGTCCTGGGGTGGGTGCTGGGACACCTCTTGCAGCCCATAGAGCCTGGCCAGTGGTGGGAGGAAGTCCCTGATGAATGCTGGGTCGTTTCCACCTCAGCACACTGTTTCTCCACAGCCATTGTGATCACCGAGCAGCCAGTATCCGTCTCCGTCCCCTTGGGATACTCCTTCACCCTGCGGTGCAGAGCCGAGGGACAGACATTGCTGCAATACCAATGGTTTTGTCAGTACCAGGTAATCGTGGGAACAGAGGTAGCCCTGGTGTGGCACCAGGCTGGGTCCCTGCCCACAGTGATGGAATTGGTCCTCTGCGGGCAGACCTGGTGCGAACAAGGAAGCTAGGAGAGGGGGAAAGGATATATGTACATGACAAGGGCCTCTGCCATTCATAATATCATAGAATCATCAAATGCTTTGGCTTGAAGGGATCCTAAAGCTCCTCCAGTTCCAAACCCCTGCCACGAGCAGGAACACCTTCCACTAGAGCAGGCTGCTCCAGGCCCTGTCCAGCCTGGCCTTGAACACTGCCAGGGATGGTGCAGCCACAGCTTCTCTGGGCACCCTGTGCCAGCGCCTCAGCACCCTCCCAGGGAAGAGCTTCTGCCTAAGAGCTCATCTCAGTCTCTCCTCTGGCAGGTTAAAGCCATTCCTCTTGTCCTGTCCCTACAGGCCCTTGTCCAAAGCCCTTCTCCAGGTTTCCTGCAGCCCCTTTAGGCACTGGAGCTGCTCTCAGGTCTCCCCTTCAGGAGCCTTCTCTTGTCCAGGCTGCCCCAGCCCAGCTCTCTCAGCCTGGCTCCAGAGCAGAGCTGCTCCAGCCCTCGCAGCATCTCCATGGCCTCCTCTGGCCTCGCTCCAACAGCTCCACGTCCCTCTTGTGCTGCTGCCCCAGAGCTGGATCAGGGCTGCAGGGGGGTACTCCCCAGAGCACAGCAGAGGGGCAGGATCCCCTCTTTCAACCTGCTGCTCACGCTCTGGGGGTGCAGCCCAGCACACGGGAGGGTTCTGGACTCAAGTGTGCACACACAGGTTATGCGGAGCTTCTCCTCACCTAACACCTTCAAGTTCTCCTCAGGGCTGCTCTCAGTCCTGTCTTCCCCAGCCTGTGTCTGTGCTGGGGATTGACCTGATCCAGAGTCAGGACCCTTCACTTAGCCTTGTTGAACTTCATGAGGTTCCCATGAGCCCATCTCTCAAGCCTGTTCAGGTCCCTCTGCATCACATCCCTTCCCTCCAGTGTGTCAACAGCTTGGTGTTGCCGCAAACTTGCTGAGCATGCACTCAATCCCACTGTCCATGTTGCTGACAAAGAAGTTAAACAGTGCTGGGTGGGATGCACACTGAAAAAGCTTCTCTCACATCCGTGCAGCTGGAGGAGGAGAGTATTTCCACCTGTTCTTACAAGGTGCCTGCTGGTGCCTTTTTCTACCAGCAATGAAGGGGACTTGCCCCCCACCACCTGTGTTTTCCCTTTAGTCTGTCTGCAGCCAGATTCCTGGTGCTACCAAGCAAGACTTGCCCATCACTGCACAACAGTCCCAACTCTACACCTGCAGAATCAACGACCTCTACAAAAATGCCGTCTTCTCTGACTGGGTGAAGGTGGAGGTCCATCATTGTGTTGCCAGAGGTATGAGCATGTCTTGTAGCTTTTCCACATTTTATGCTTTGCCCACGCTTGCAGCAGTGATCCTGTGCAGTTCCCGGGGCAATGTGTCCTCCCAGCTCAAAAATCGCAATACAGAAGCATTGCTTCAGGAGCATGAGCCTTCAGGCCTAACCCAGACCTCTGTGCCCATTCTCTGGGTGATTCAGGTCCATGTCATGGTCTGCGTAACTTCGGCTCTAGGTACTTGCTCCTTTTTCCTAGAGTTATACTGGGTGTTTGCCTGTTTGCGCTTGACAGTGGTACTGGACAAGGCAATATGGCTATTTCAGAGCTGAGCAAAAATAACTCCAGGTGTGGCTGATGGCAGCATGTTGACTTTGTGCCGTTGGCAGGGAAGGGCAAGTATCAAGTTTGGGAAGCCAGAGGCAGGTTTTGGTGTGTCATTTACTATCATGGGTGTCACTCTCCAGGATTCCCTGCTCCCAAAGCAGAAGGGTGCAGTGGTGATGCTGCAATCACAGCCATCCTTTGGTACCTCTTGGAGTGGTTGGGAAAGCTTGCTTTTCTGGCAGTGCGCACAGGTTCTTGTACAGGGAGAAAAAATTACCCTTGTTTTCTGTCTTTGTGGAGGGAGGACCAATTCTGTGTTGCTGCTTCACAGGACTGCCCCCTCGGCTCTGGCAAGGAGAACCAGTCATCGTCCTCAACCCCACTGAGCAGAGGGTGGACGTGGGTAAGCCGCTGCAGCTGCAGTGTGCTGCCATGGGGGTCCCAGCCCCCAGCTACCAGTGGTACCAGAATGGGAACCTTCTAGAGCACCAGAAGAAAAAAAAACTCTGGGTAATGTTGTCTTGGGGTAGTTCAGACACTTTGGCTGCTGAGGTGGGTGATAGGAGAAGCTCATTGCTGGGTGGTGGGCATGGGAGAGCCTTAGAAACCTTGGAGAGGCTGTTGAAAATTGTGTCATTGTCATCCTGGACAAGACCATGTCAGTCCTTAAGCCTGGCTTGCATCTCTCTGGCAATCTCAGCCGTGTTTTGATCTGTGTGATAGGTGGATGCCATCAGAAAGCAGTGTCTCGTTGCCTGTCCTCCCAGCCTCTCTAGCCCTCTCCAGCCTCATGCTCAGCAGTTCTTCCCTGCGGCCTCGCAGGGTTGTGGGAGAACACTCCATGTATCACCCCAGTTGCTTTGGTAGCTGACTGAAGGCCTCCAGGTGAAGAGGGAATAAGTTTTATGGGCTTCTTTCAAAGCTGCAGATGTTTCTCTAAGAAGTAACCCATTCATAGATGTGTCACGGGCTCTTGGCAGGTTTCTCATTACTTTTTGCAGCAGTGGCACATGAACAGCTATTGCATGTCAGCGCAGGGACTGTGGACTGATGCAGCTGCAGGAGTGCTGCCTGCCTGCAGGAGAACTAGAAGGAAAAGTGGTTAGTCCTCGCAGAAAAGAGTCAGGTTCACAGCAAAAAGTGTGGCTTTATTTTGGGTTACTGGCTGAACGCAACAATGCTATCTTCTTGAAGCAAGAAAAACAGATTTCCTTGTGGGGCATCACGTGAAGGGTAATGAAGACAAGAGATCCAATCTCTTCTCAGGTGTAATAGATGATATTAGGGGACAGTGGTCTCAGATTGCACTTTTCCCAGGCAAGTTCAGGCTGGGGATTAGAAAGAGGTTCTTCATTTGGAGGTGGGTGGTGCTCCTTGAGCCAGAAAGGCAACAAGATGTCCATCCTTGGGGGTTTTCAGTATTTAACTAGACAAAGTCATGGCCAACCTGACCCAGGGGTGGCTTTCTGAGTAGGAACCTGGGCTGGAGAGCCACATAGGTCCTCACCAGCCGGTACTTCTGTGATTGTTGTCAACGTCAAGAGAGATACATAATTGTTGAAAACTGCCAGAAAAGAGCTATGATCAGAAATCTAGAAAATGTTACCCAAGAGGAAAATCAGGCAACCTTCTGATTTTGGCCACACACCATCCTCCCAGTGTGGCTCCTGAGGCAGAGTATGGCTATGACACAGAGTTTTGGGACTGCTGAATAAAGAAGGGAAGTCAATTGGGCAGGGGATTCTTGCGCTCTAGAAGCTGGGGTCAGCAGCCGACCTTAGCATAGAAACATAGAATCATAAAATGCTTTGTGTTGGAAAGGACCTTAAGATCATCTAGTTCCTGCAATGGGCAGGGATACTTCCCCCTAGACCACTGTGCTCAAGGTGCTCTCCAGCCTGGCCTTGAATACCTCTGGGGCCACTGAACTTCCTAGAAAAGACAGAAGCCATGGGAAACCTTAGCTTTGTGAAGCAAAGAATGAAGAATAAAGACTTTTCATTCCAGGAACACAGGTGCCTTTGGCAGATACCGTCAGGGGGCTGTAAACTTTCACCATAAATAATGTGATTTAACTTTTGATCTGTCTAGATCTCCCATGCAAAGGTCAGTGACTCCGGCACATACCTCTGCTGTGCCTCCAATAGCCACGGCGAGCACTGGACCAATGCAGTGGATATTCACGTAGGTGAGCAGAGCCAACCCACATCTGCTTTGCTGCAAATCACCTCCTAGCATGAAAAGTAATTGGAGGGCAAAAAGGAGTTTAATGGTCTTGCTTGGAAGTGCTGAACTGATGAACGGGGAGCCCAGTGCTGGTGTGTTACCCTGTGGCTCAATCAGTGCAGGGGGAAGCTGGGCTCCAGGGGGTGGGATTAGGGGAAGTAGGATGCATGGCTCTGATACTTGCATCTTCCCCCGGCGTGGATGGATCTTGCATGCTTTTATTAACATAAAGAAAGACCACGAGTTTAAAATACCACTTCTGCTGGGAGACAAAGGTGTGACACTTCAGAGCAGAGATGCAACGGGGCTCTGCAGAAGAACTGGAGTGTCCTGGCAGTGCTGTGACAGCTGTCAGGGAAAGAGCCTGCAGACTACAGTTTCACACCCTGGATATACTGGATACAGTGATCTCAGCAGAGCTGCGCAAGCCCGGCTGAGCAGCAAGCACAGGCATCTGTCACACTGTGATAAATAGGATTCTTTGATAACAGAGTTCAGAGGCAGTGAGGGGAAGCGGCGTCTATAACAGAAAAAAGCCAAAAGCCAGTGATCCACTCTCCTGTGGTGTAGGATGCTTCTGGGTCCTGCAGTCTGTCACAGACCTGACATCTGAGGGTAGGTTGAGCACTCTTGGATTCTCATGTAGTTTTCTTGCCTTGCCAAGGTGTTGATTTAATAGCTCCTTGGCCAAATTGCAGCAGGCTCCTATGCTAAAACTCATTTACAGCCCTGCTGAGATGAAGCGATGTACTCAGACACGCAGAGATGGAGAGGATGGTGGTATTTTGGGAAGGTTCAGGTCCTTTGGGCTCACAGCCCGGGCCTGATGCTGCATGAGCTAAGAGGGAGAAGATGGGTCCCCAGAGCCTTCGGCATGCTCCACCTTCGGTGTGTGAAGCCTGTTTTGGCCCTCTGCCCTGCTGTGGGACAGGAATAGCATGGGCTAGCTTTACTGGCTCCTTACTCCATCTGGAGATTCTATGCCATAAGCTTCTCATGTCACCTTTTAGGCTGGCTTTAAAATTGCTCCAGAGTGTAAATTGGCCTTGTATAGCCAGAGAGTACTCTCCCTGCCTCCTCACTGGTGGCAAAACAGCATCCAGGGAGGACAGGCAGTGAGAAGGATGCACTGGATTGGGATGGGTTCAAGATGCTACAGCTGCTTAGCTTTACCATGTAACAGTCAGCTCTGTCAGAGGCAGGAGAGGATGAGTGTATTTCCAGGCAACTCCAGTGCATTTAGCAGCACTGGTTTGGGTACTAAACTCTTCCAGACCTGAGTTTTAGGCAGTTAAAAATATGCCCTTGATTTCCTCTTTTTGAGCGGTAGGGCCTTAGGGTTTTCTCGTGGGCTGGATTATATTTTGAAATTTAAATTGGAAAAGCTGGAGCTGTTGGGTAATGGTGATTTTAAGAGACTGGGCAAGGGAACTTTTGGAGGTCATGTAACTGAGTCACATTTAGGGTGGCTTTTCTGAACCAGAACTGCTAAAAGGCAGGGAAAGGCTCTGGGAATTTTATCTCGATCAAAAGCAAACAGGTGGCTTCCCCTGCACTGGCTGCTTGTGGGGAGAACCCTGTTCTGAAGCTTAGGCTGAGCCTTAGTTACTGTGTTGCCTTTGCTTTCGCTGCAGTGAGGGAGTGGGCAAGTCATCTCGGGAACCACGGCAGCCGAGCCAGGGCTAGTCTGAGTAGCGCAGACCTGCTGATGGGTTCAAGCTCCTTCGTGCTGCTCTCTTTCCACTGGCCTGCCTCTTCTCCAAGCTTTGCTTCCCAGCTGCTCAAGATTTCATACATCAGGCAGGATTCTATACATCCTTCTAAAATCACCAGACCCATGTTTTTAAGGTTAGCAATCGGGCCTGAGGAGTGTTGCTTGTGTGGATGCTTCATACTGTATGATCCAGCTTTGCATTGCTGGGGGATGTTGGAACAGGTTTCAGACTTGTGGGAGTTGGCACTGGGGTGCTGGGTACAGGCTTATTGTTTCTTCTGTCTTTTCCAGGTACATGTCACTCTGAAAAGTTTTTTGGTGAGTCCTGTCATCATTTCTTCCTGAGCAATTCTTCCCCTAATTAGAAGTCAGGCTTTAGGGTAGAAGGGAGGACAAGGCATAGGAGTGTTTTTCCTGCAGATATCGCTTCAGGCCTCTGTGCCCACCTTGTCATGGGCTCTGTGCTTCTGGGATCAGAACTGCAAGGCACAGGATGAGCCGCATCCCAAGTCCTTATCAGTTTCCACAAGTGGAGTAAGATTATTCCTAATGAGTAACCCAGTCTTCACATCTGTGCCTACCAAAGCGATTTTAGAAGTATTGTTCACATGACACTGTTTCCCTTCCTTGCAATACCTCCTTGAAGCAAGAAAAAGCTCCTTGCTCCCACCACTGCTGAGTACCATAAATTTGGGTTTTTTCCTACAGTGGAAGGTGGGGATAAAATGAAAGCAAGGATCCTGGGGTTTCTCTCCTTCAGGCTCGTGGGGGAAAGGACCTCCTACCCTGGTTCAGTGCATCTGAGCACTGCTGGCATGCAAGACCTGTGGTTGTGGTAGGGTAGCTGCTGAATAGCCTCGGTAGTGTGGATCCTCCTGCACTCCTGGGATTTTGGTTGTTAAGTGAAAACTTTCCAAGTCTCTTGCAAAATGATGATTTGTGTATTTTGTGAGTGTTCAGAAAGCCAAAGGCTTTCTGCAGGGCGCTTCAGGCTTATAGCAACATAGGGGCTATCTTTCCTGCCTACATGTAAGAATAGATTTCCTGTGTCCTGACTCCAACAGCAGGAGGTGAGACCTTGTCTCCTGCTGAGCATTTACAGCTTTGTCACTTGGTATTTCTTTTAGCTACAGGCAAGATAGCACTTTTAGTGGGCAACAACCACTACCAGCATCATCCCAACCTCATGGCTCCCGTCATGGATGTGTTTGAGCTGAGTCTCCTTCTGGAGCAGCTGGGCTTCCAGGTTGTCTCCCTTCTGGATCTGAACAAGGCTGAGATGGAGGCAGCAGTCAGTCGGTTCCTGGAGCTCCTGGGAAAAGGAGTCTATGGTAAGGCAAAGCCAGCCCAGTACCTGCCAGTGCTGAGCAGGCAGCAGCTGATGTGCAGGTAGCAGCAGTAGAGGACAGGGAGGAGGAGGGATTTGGCAATTTTATGAGCAGCTGTTGAATTATAAAAGAGGAAATTGAACTTTCCTTTGGGGGATATGGGGGAAAGGGAGACCTACATTGTAGTCTGCAGTCATGCCAGGCTTTTAGGGATCCAGAGCTTCTGATGATGAATGGGAGAAAGTGTTTTGATTTTGCCTATCAACTGCCCCCACCACTCTCCTTTGTGAGAGGGGGAGCTCCTTTTTAGTGGTGACTGCTACAGCTGACAGTGATTTCTCTGTTTCTCTTTCCTGATGGTCTCATTTGGGACTTTGCTTTTTTTTTGCAGAAGAGCATTCCCAGCTGCAGCTGGCTTTGAGGTTGGGCTTTGAGCTTATTGCATGCGATTCTCAGAGAGAAGCATTCCTCAAACACAAAACCAGCTAGCAGATCTTGTGGATCTTAAAGCAGATGTTCAGATGTGGTGGTGAAAGTAGTTTCTTTGGGGTTTCTGAGGTTTTCTCAACCTGATAGATACCCTGAAAACACCTTGCAGGGTTTTTTTTTTAATTCCAAGCTGACATGCAAGGCTTATCATCACTGCCCTCCCAGTTGCATGGCATAGCAGGGCACTCTATGAAGGTCAGTGTGGGATAATTCCAGCCCTGCGCTCAGCAGGAGGTTTGGAGGTTTTGCAGTGGACAAGGACACAGCCCTGAGTGAAATGCTGCAAAGCCACCTTGTTCCTGGAAGCACTGACTCACCCCAGGAGGCTGAGCTGGCAGGGAAGGGCAGAACATGATTGTCACCACTCCAGCCAAGCACATCACCTGATGGCAGCGTAGTTCTGTGACTTCACTCTCAGCTTCCTCTTGTGGTTGCTCTCTGAAATCCATTTGTATCTTGGGCTTTACCTCCTCTCCCAGGCCAGAGGCATCCTTGGTTGGCTTCTCTGCTTGTCCCATGGCACTGCCATTCCCAGTCTCTACTCATGTTGCATGAAGACTGAATAGCATTTTATCCATGGCACTTTCCTTGTTTTCATAAGCATTTGACAGAAAAAACTATTTGGAAATGGCAAACCGTTCATGCTGTCATGCCTTATTTAAACTTCTAGTGCTTTTCTGCATTTGTGGCCACTGATCCTTCCTGGAAAACTGACTTTGTGCACTGTCAGGAAAAATGCTAACAGCTGGGTTAGTGAACCTTGAAGCCTCAGGTGTTTGCCAGGCATAGCCTGCAAGTGGTTTTCTTTGGATGGTGGTTTTCTTTACAGCTTTCTAAGCTGAGTGGTCTACTATTATTTGGAGGCAGTGAACCCCAGCACAGTAGCATGATTGAATTGAGGACTCTTGCTGTAATTGGTGGCATCCAGACTTAATGGTAAAGCATTGGGTCAGTCTGCCTGCTGATTGCCCCGGGGTTTCTCCATCTGAAGTGTGATGCCTCTCACTGTGATGCTTCTTCCAGTATTTCTTCAGCTGTTTTCCTTACATAAAATATAAAGAACCAGGTGAAGCACAAATCACTTAAATTAACTTGTCTTAGTAATAAAAACACACACTAGGAAAAAGCTAACAACTTCTAAACTGTGTATTTTTCAAGGCACTAACTCCAGGATAAACATCAAGAACTGACTGAGAGGTTTAGGATTCATGTAACTTATACGCAGGGCAGATAATGGTGAGAGAGTAGCTTCAGAAACAGCCTAAGCAGCCTGTTAAAACTAAAAAGCCCCCCAGGGGCATGTGTGATAGTCAGTCTTGAAGGTCCATGTATGTCTGTCAGACAAGCACCTGCAGAGAGGCATTCCAGTGCTTCTGCCTTTTTTTTTCTGGTTCAAGGAACCTGGAGGTGCCATCTCCTGTGTAGCTATCACCAAAGCTTGAAGTCAGGAGAGCTTTGTTTAGACATTCAAGTGAAACAGGGAGCTGGGAGGAGAGGGCTGACCAGTGAAAGACTGTCACTGGGCTGAAGTGAGAGGCTCTGATCTAACATAAACACCTCTCAGCATGCCCAAGGAGTGAGGCTGGCTGTCTTCTGAGGTTTAACTCCAGCTGGGGCATTCATACATCTTTTTGCTGAAGCAGATCATAGAATCATAGAATAGTTAGGGTTGGAAAGGACCTTAAGATCATCAAGTTCCAACCCCCCTGCCATGGGCAGGGACACCTCACACTAAACCATATCACCCAAGGCCTCGTCCAACCTGGTCTTGAACATTGCCAGGGATGGAGCATTCACAGCCTCCCTGAGCAACCCATTCCAGTGCCTCACCACCCTAACAGGAAAGAATTTCCTCCTTAGATCCAATCTAAACTTCCCCTGTTTAAGTTTGAACCCCTTACCCCTTGCCCTATCACTACAGTCCCTAATGAAGAGTACCTCCCTAGCATCCCTATAGGCCCCCTTCAGATACAGGAAAGCTGGTATGAGGTCTCCACACAGACTTCTCTTCTCCAGGCTGAACAGCCACAAATTTCTCAGCCTGTCTTCATACAGGAGGTGCTCCAGTCCCTGATCATCCTTGTGGCCCTTCTCTGGACTTGTTCCAACAGTTCCATGTCCTTTTTATGTTGAGGACACCAGAACTGCACACAGTGCTCCAAGTGAGGTCTCACAAGAGCAGAGTAGAGGGGCAGGATCACCTCCTTTGACCTGCTGGTCACGCTCCTTTTGATGCAGCCCAGGATACGGTTGCTTTCTGGGCTGCAAGCGCACACTGAAGCTGGCTCATGTTCATTTTCTCATCAACCAACACCCCCAAGTCCTTCTCCGCAGGGCTGCTCTGAATCTCTTCTCTGCCCAACCTGTAGCTGTGCCTGGGATTGCTCCGACCCAGGTGTAGGACCTTGCACTTGTTATGGTTAAACTTCATAAGGTTGGCACCAGCCACCTCACAGGCGTGTCAAGGTCCCTCTGGATGGCAAAATCAGAAGATCAGAAGAGAGGACATAGCCACGTGGATTAGTGTTTGAGCATGGTGCATATTGTTGCTTCTAGCAATTTGTTTAGCTTCAGGGTGGTGGTAAGAGCTGAAGATGTGTCTGTCCTCCCTAGAATGGCAGGGCCCTTTGGATGGCTGCCCTCCCTCACATGTCCTTACTGACCTGTGATTTACACTTGTACAGGGGTTGGTAAGAAGGGACTTTGGAGTTACCAGCACAAGGTTAGGGTTGGTTGTAGCTCTCCTTATCAGGTCAAGACTTCTAGGCATGGAACCCTCCATTTATCTGCCTGCCTGTCCCAGGCTGCACCACTCTCCAGGGAGGTCTTTCCTCCTGTTAGACATGACCCTTCAAGGGTTGGTGTTCATTGCCCCATGTTGTTCGTCAATTCTGACACAAGAGTTGGGCTTTGTTGTCTCTGTAACTGCTCCTTCAGGAGCTGTTAGACCTTCCTCTGCCTCCACGTCTCCAGCCCAGCCCAGTTCCTTCACTCTCTCCTCACAGGCCCTGGATATCTTGTAGCCTCTTCTTGGCTATCAAGAAGCCAACATCTTTGTAGCCTCTGCTGGCCTTCTTCCAGCTTCTCCACCCTCGTCTTGAACTGAAGTCCCTAAAACTGGACACTGGATCTAAGCAGCATCTCCTGGGGCCAAGGAGAGTGGTGACAGCTTCTCTGGTGATCCTGCATCTGCTAGCATAGCCCTGTCCCCAGTGAATGCTGGCTCGTCTTCAGTGTGGTGTCCACTGTGACTCCAGGCCCTTATCTCTAGGCTTGCTGCGCAGCCCCAGCCAAAATGCTACCTGGGTTTATCTGCCTCAGTGCAGGATTTTGTCATTGTTATTGAATTTGTTCTTAAATTTCTCAACCACAGGGCAAAAGCTGGTTTCATTTTCAGGCACAGGAATATCGTTTAGCTGTGTATTTAAGGTGATCCAAAGGCTTCTCTAATTCACCGTATGGACGGAGTGGCTCATCTGACTGGGTTTCCTCCAGATCTCCTCTCAGAAGAGCTGCAGAGGATTTTTGAAGGCTGCAGACATTCCCTGAGTGGTCTAATCATTCAGCCTTCAGGCAAACAAGGAATCTCCCTGGATTTTATTTGGAAGTCTTAAAAAGTCCCGAGTCAAAGAAGTGCAACGAGAGCAGAAAGCTGTGAGTGAAATACTAGGAATATGCTGTCATGCCGTAATTAAGCTGCATGCTGATGCTTCCTGTTTTATAAGCATGCCTGGAGCTTCTGTTTTTGAATTTGGTACTTGGAAGCTTGTCCCTGATCAGCAGTTTTGACCCACGAGATGTGGGAAGAACACTGAAATACTAGCTTGGAATAAAATACACTTTTCCTTCTCTAGGCCAATCATTAACTTTCCTGTTCAGGGGGAGAGATGAGGTCCAGGAGAGATTTGCAAAGCTGCTCAGCTGACGTGAAACTCATGTCATTTTGATCTGAACACAAATCTTTGTGGTTTGTGTAGTGTGGGGAGCACTTGGCGGTACATTCAGGGCTTCAGAAGTTACAAGATTTAATGATTGAGCATTCTTTGTGTTTTTTTCCATAATATTTCATTTTCTACCAAGTATCAGTGATGCTGCCTGGTAAGGGATGTCATTACCTCCCTTGCACATACAGGAGTGCTTGATAACTTGAGGGGCCAAACCTGAAGTGCCTGTATCTGATTTTTACAGAAGGCTCCCTTTTTTATACTTTTATAGTCTCAGCAGAGGTTTTGATTTGCAAGCTCTAAAAATATAAAACTTCTGCAAATCAGAGCCCTGCCTTCCTCTGGCTGGTGATCCACAAGAAGAGGAACCCAAATGCTGTGGGCAGCTGTGAAGACAGCATTTGAGTAACTTTCCATCATCCCCTGAGAATAGAAACCAAAGATGACTTGAGGACTTTTTTGATGTAATATCATACTTTCCATCCTCCGTACAATGAGATCATGCTTTCAGTCATTCAGCTCCTGCCCCATTCACTGCATCCCTTGCAGCATCAGAGATCAGAGCGAGTGCGCTGAGTGAACTACCAAGGCAGAAACCTTGGAGGGAAAAGAGAGGAGAGGTTACTCTGAAGTTTGGGCTTTGGCAGCAAATTTGACTACGGAATTTCTCCTGAGGTGTTTGTCTCTTAGCCACTTGTTCTCATTTCTGACCTCTCATTTTTCACTGTCCCTCAGTTGTGGTAGTTTGTGTCACTTCGCAGAGCTATTTTTAACCTGTTTCAGTTCCCCAAGTTGGCTTTCACCCTCACTCCCAAGCAGTGGCGTCAGTGCTGGGAAGGGGTAGTTGGCCACTAGACAGCTTTCTTTCAGGAAGCTGCAGCCCATGTAGGAATCCCTGTGCAGCAGGAATGCCCTTCGGCAAACACATGGGTTGGAGCACTAGCTTGGGCTGTGCCAAGCTCCTTAGCGCTGGCTTTCCAAGTTAGATGTCCCTGTGTTGCCATCTCTTGTGAAGACAGAAACCTTTTCGAAGTGTCGTGCTTAAGAATAAAACTCAAAACCAAAATTCTTGTTGGGTACTGGTCTTTCCACCAATATTTGGATAAGTCTGACTCCTCATCAGCCTTACAGGGCTGGTGTGTGGTCTGAGGTTGTTGAAGCATGTGGTCCATGTGTTCCGGACATCTGGAGATCAAGTCTGTCTAATTTTTCACCAGCTTATAGGTGTGTAAATACAGGCAGACATTTTAAATCTGGAGAGTGTTTCCCATCACCTAATCCATTGCTAGTCTCTTTTCAGAAACTAGGAAGCTGACAAACTTCTTATTTAAAAGGCTGTTAAGGTATATATCATAATGATAAAATACTTTGTTGTAACTATTCTATGATTCTTGCCAAGAGATGATGATTAACCAAGGCTTTGTCCAAAGGTGGCCTTCAGCCTGGCATTCCTGAGAACATGGAGTTCTCTTCAGTCCACACCTTTCTGATGATTATCAGTGGGGAATTACCAATTAAAGTTTACCTTTTGAAGGAAGAGCATCCTACCACCCTCGAACTTACTATTATCCTTCCCCATTTACTGCATTTCTCCTCCTGTTTGCATTCGCTCCTTGGTTTTCCCCTCAGTGCTACCTAGATGCTGAGTTTGGGTGTTGAAGCACAAATGGTTATGAAAATGGGAAAACCCAGTGACTTTGGGGTCTCATGACAGATGGTGCTGAAGACCACAAATGCAGGAGAGCCCCTCAGGGCTGCTTCTATCTCTGCTGAAGGGAACAGACTAGAAAAAGCCAAATTTGTGAGGTTGGTTTCATAGGTGCCCCTTGCTGCAGTATCCCTTCAGGACAAGAGGTGGGACATGGCTGTGTGGAGCTGGTTACAGACCCGGAGGTTCACATCATAGCTCATCCTCTTCTCTCCCTGTTACCAGCTATATTCTACTATGCTGGGCATGGGTATGAACATTTGGGGAGGAACTACATGGTCCCAGTTGATGCTCCACAGCCCTACGCCCCTGAGAACTGCATCAGCGTGCAGAGGATCCTCCAGAGGATGCAGCAGCAGCAGACAGCCCTGAACCTCATCCTGCTGGACACCTGCAGGAAATGGTAGGTTGCTTTTCCCCCTTCCTCACCTGCAATGGGCAGAGCATGGCATTGTGAGGAGTCAGGGGAGACAGCCCCCACTTCAGCAGTGGGCTTCTACACAATCATGTGGGGTGATCCCTTGGATTGCTGGGACCGCATCCTCTGTTGTGCTGCTGAGCCCAGTTTGTCAGGTTGTAGAATCAGCAAGACTAAGGTCTTTCAGGATGCCCTGGGAAGACCAGTCTTCCCAGATGCTGAAATCATCAGATGCTGCCTGAAAGAAGGGGGTGGAGACCCTGTTATGATTTTTGGGGGTGAAAAAGGCTAGCAAAACCAGACAAGTTGTCTAAAGCCTGTGGAGGGCTGGGTCTGCCCTTACACAAATTGTTGGCTGAAACTTAGCATAGGGTTTGTCTTTTTGTGCTTCAACCCCCTGCACTGAACCACCCGGCCCAGTAGGCTTTTAGCAGCATCTTGCTGACCTTGTACTTTCATGCTGCATGTTGCCCACATGCTCAGGCTCTCTTCTCCTGGCTCCGTTTCAGTTAACATCTCAGTGAAAAGAGTGCAACATGATGGGGAAAATATTTTAAGCTGTGGTACTTGGTTCTTACTAGCCTTATATGCTTCTGAAGTGCTCATGTTGTAATGTGGGACCCAGGCTGCTGCATTTTTCCTCTCAGATCAGCATTTTTCCTCTGTGGAAAGCTCATCATTCTCCCTTGGCCTGCAGCTTCTGGACTGCAGGGAATTACTTGTCCATTTTCAGCAGAGGTAGGTGGACTATTCCAGTAGAAGCTGTTATTAGTCCATTTATTTCAATCTCCTGAGGCATATTTACAAGTCAGAAAAGACATGGAGATCAGATGTAGAAATTTCACTCTTCCTTCTGTGGTTTCTGTACCAAGAACCATAAAGATGACAGGGATTTTAATACTGTTGCCCTGAAAGAGCTGCCAGCTCCTGGAAAGTTGTTAAATCTTAGATGCCTTTTAGCTGGAGAGGTGGGAATGCTCACTTTGAATAGCTTATACACTGCCTGCCACAGCTCGGAGTTGCCAGTGTAACTGGAGCTTGATGTTCTTTGATACCTGCCCCTGAATGCCCCACAGTGAAGCATCCCCTTTCTTCCTTCTTGCTCACCACTGCTCCTGACAACATGTTGCTTCCCTGCACTATCAAGTGCCTCTGTGGCACACGTGGCAGCAACTTGCTGCTCTCCCCAGCATGACACCAGGCAGGGGATGTCTTGCAGCCAAGTAGGAGCACTTGGCTTTCATGGATGCACTGGTGGAGCTCGGCTAGTATGCCTCTGTAGCTCATGTGAGTGCAGTGTGTGATGGAGAGGTAGTGTGGTGACATGGAGTCTGCACAGGGCTTGCTAACACAAACAGCGACCATCTATGAAATAGCTTTTGAGCTGATGTCTCTTTTCTTGGCATTGCCAGTGGTTTCTGTGCTCAGTGGAGCCTTAATGACATGTCGGGAAAAGGATGCAGCATGAGAACCACTGTGATATTTAGGCATTGTTGTGAGGCTGTTTTTCCTCACCTAAGCTTCATACTTCTTTCCTCCCCTTCCGCACAGCAGGCACAGCACCCAGTGCAGTAGGCGTTATCACCAGGCTTGTGGGGATTGCTGTAAAAGCTCTCTCCTAAGCTCATTTGTCTTGGGAAGTTCCTGTTTCAGCTCAGCAAAGCATTTGGATTTCAGAGCTCCATGTGTTGACACTGCTCTGTAAAACAAGGCTCCTGGGGCCTTCTTTCCCAATGCCCTTTTGGTTGGACTGGTGCTGCAAGTCTGTTGACAGTCCGCTCAGCCATGCATGAACTGGGAGGAGCTGTGTCTGTGCTAAGAGGATCTCACCCGGAATATCTCTTCATCCCATATGTTGGCATCAGAAATGCTAAGGCCGTGAGAAACACATCCCTCTTTGCCAAGTTGTAGCAGATGTTCAGCTTCAGCAGAGAAGGCGTGAGGAACACGGAGCCTGTGTGTAGCCTCATACATTTATATGCTGATTCTGGGTGAATGCGATTGCCTCTTCCAGGAATTGCCCAATTTATGAGAATTTCTAGCATATGCCACTTAGGACAGAAGGAGGACACAATCTCCTAACTGGGATGCAGATGAGAAACAGATTGCCTGGGATGCACAGTGTAACTTAGACTGGTTTTGGAACAGGAGGGATGCTGCCACCTTCTCCGCTGTCAGGTCACACTCTGGAAATGCCACTGCTGAAGCTCGCTTTCTGCTGGACAGGATCACAGCCAGCATTTCTGCTGCAGGCACTAGCTGGCCTTGCTGGAGCCATGGATGCCTGCTGGTGCCGTCGCAATAGGTTTGCATCAGCTCTTGTCTGCAGCTTTGGGTAGATGTCCCCAACATGGGGACAACAGGTGCTAGACTTATTGTGGGATCCCATGTCATATTTCTCCTTGGACCTGGAATCCCGGATTTCTTCATTTAGGAGCAGATAAATCTGTCTGCTCAGTGTTCATATTTAGAAGCATATCTCCTTTCCCACATTTTCTCTTCTGGTCATCTTTAAGGAACTAACACAAGCCAGATGAATGTTGCCATTAAACATCACCAGACTGCACCACCAGAACTGGTTATGTGCTGGCTGCTGGCAACACAACCATCCCTTCTGCTCTCCTTAGCATGCCAGCTTCAGCCCTGAGAAACTGTGCTGGAATTGAATAACAGAGAATAATGCCACCTCTGTGCTTGGCTCTTATCCCCGTGTGACTGAGAACAGTTCCAAGTCACTTATGTAAACTGGAGGCAGCCAGTCCCTGTTCTGTTCAGTCTGGCTGCAGTCAGATGGGCAAGGCTTGTCTGTTATGTGCAACCATAATATCTCTTTTGGTGGAAACCAGAACCACCTTAGAGATATACCTCATTTTGGAAATAACAGGGTCTGAGCTCACTGAGCTGCATCTAGACAAGGGTTCTGGAACCAGGTTTGGGTTCTGAGACCTGGGTGTGCATCCTGATCCCATCTCTCAGTGAGATCTAGAGGTGCATCAGCTGTAGCGTGTTCTGGTTTTCTGGGGCAGAAGGTGTGTGCATGGTCTGGAAGGGAACTGTGAGACACCCCAGACCCCCGGGACAGGTGGTTGAGCTGTAGCCATGCAATGTGCACACCTCTGACTTCTTTATGGGCAGTCGTCCCTTGGGCAACAGTGAACCCGTGCACTGTTGTGCTGCCTGGGCTTGTTACAGTCCAGCCTCAGGAAGGAGGAGGCATGGTTGTACCCACAGCCCAGGCTTGCTTGCCAGGCAGGGAGCAGCTCACCAGTGCAGACAGATCAAAGCTAGCCCTATCTACTCACTTCCCCGTGGTTGTGTTCTTTGTGGGTTGATCTTACTGCCATCTGTAGGAGATGGACTTGGTGGAGCTTAGGCGTTTTGTCCCCTCCAGGCACATGCTGATGGATGTCCTTTGCCTGCTCTTCCAGGTACAACTCCGAGTGTGCCCTTTCACAGGTACAGCCACTGGAGCCCTGGGGCAATACTGTTTATGGATACGCCACGTAAGTAGTGGCAAATGTGGTTTGGCAAGCCCATGCCACGACATAGGACCAAGTGCTGGCACAGCCATATCTTCTTGCATCCTTTTGTGCATGGTGGCTTTGGAGACATGAGAGGGCTTTTCTGATGTTTCCTCTGTCTCTCACCCTCCACCTCTAGCATTTGCTGTTCAGGCAATTCTGTCCTTCTTCCTATCATCACTAGTGGCAGCCTGTGCATCAGTTACAAGTTATGCATGAAAGTGGCATCAGCTCCTGTCATCTGTCCTGAGCCTGATGCCTGATGCCCAAGGCACATCATCACCTGAAGCCTCCTGAGATGATCAGTGTTGCTCACTGCTCTAATGCCAGTTCTCCTGGCTTTTCAACTACTGACACTCCCCTAGGTTGGCAAAAGAATCTTTACTGTTCTCTGCATGCTTCCCACCCTCTCCTGGGCCAAAACCAAGCACTTTGTGTCATTGCTTGAGAAGCCAAGCTGGACTCAGCTGACAGAGTCTGGATGGAGTCAGCAAGCCCTGCCTCACCCCACGGCTTCACACCCCTTGCAGAAATGTGAGGACAATTCCTTACTCTTCCAGGAGCGAAGATGCAGAAGCCTATGAGTTGCAGGATGGGGAGTTCAGCTCTGGGATCTTCATGAAATACCTGAAGAAACATATTCTGCAAGAGAAGAAGGTTACACACATGCTGGAGGATGTGCTAGAAGGTAAGGGATGAGCTAGAAACCACTTGCTTCATTAGCACGGATGAGAATTGATAGCAGCTCCCCCATCCCAGCCAGCCAGCCAGTCATCCCTCCTTAAAAACCAAACCGCAGACCATGTCCCATGTGAGCTTTTAGTAAACTGGCAGCAGTACGAAGACGTTAACGTAAGGTATGAAAGCTAATGAGATAAATAAGGAACATGGAGTGACCTTTGCACCTCCAAACTCTCTCCCCCAGATGTTGGCCAGGATCCCTTGGTTACTGGGAAGCAGGTGATGGAGATCAAGCATACTTTGAAGGAAGCCCGGTCCCTGACGGATCCGATCTGTCCCTTGAGAGCCCAGGCCGAGCGCTGGGGGCACAGCCATGGTGAGCCATGCACGATGCAGGGAGGGCTACCAGGTGGGGGTGAGGAGAGGGTTTGGGGTCTCTGTGCCCCTCAGGGACACTGATCTTCATGGAGTTGTTGGCAGGATGCTCCAAGTCCCCTCTTGTCTTTCCCTTCCAGAGCTGCTGAGCAAACTGGTGACCTTCCCCTGCGGGGCACGGGTGCAGCTGCGCTTCCACCGACTCTTCTCCAACCTAATCTATGTGTGTGCCAAGTTGCAGCACTCCCCGGCCCACATCGCAGATACCCGCCTCCTGCTCTGCCGACCCACTGTGAGTCCTCCCTTCCCTGCATTCCCAACGGGCTCCTTTCCCCAGAGTGGAGTTGGGAGGGTGGCAAGGGTGAGCCCAAGGGGTTCTGAGGGCTGGGAAAGGCTGAACCCCCATGGGAACAAATCCCCTCCTCTGCTACCTCTGATGCAAATAATCCTAACTGCAAACACCTTTTTGAGTGCTCCTTCCATGCATCAGTACCCTGCAGACTGTCTGCCTTGTTCTTAATGCATCAGAAGAAGGATTTTGTGGCAGTTTTGATGCCTTTAACCAGTTACCCTTGGACTGGTTTCTGATCTGCCCAATTAAATTACTGCATTTAATCTGACTGAGGTGAAGAGGCTTTCTGTTTTCTGTGTTTGGAAGCAGATCTGGCTTTTTGTATCATAGCACCACAGAGTGGTTTGGGTTGGAAGAGACCTTAAAGCTCCTCCAGTTCCAACCCCCTGCCACAGGCAGGGACACCTTCCACTAGAGCAGCTTGCGCTAAGCCCCGTTCAGCCTGGCCTTGAACACTGCCAGGGATGGGGCAGCCACAACTTCTCTTTTCTTCTGAATCATGCCTTCTTAGCCCACTGTGCTAATACATCTTAATGCAACGATATATTTCTTCCCTCTTGAGCTGTACCAGCTTCCTTGCACCCCTTCTCACACCTTTCCTAACAGACCATGTATCCAGTATGGCTTTTCTGGTGATATCCATGCCACCTCTAAGGATTTAATTTGTTGCTCCTTTTTGCTAACCATCTTTCTCCTTTTCTGTAGTCCTTTTGCTGAAGCATAGTGTGACTGTGGTGGATTTTTTGGACCTTGTTTCTCATGGAGGGGCATTGCCCCTAAGTACTTTGTGGTCACTGATTCAGCGCAGTGTGTCCAGCAGGTTTGGAGCCTGAGCCTGCCCATTAAGGAGCCAGAGCATCGTTTCCTGCTGTGAGCTCCTTAACCATGCATGAAAACCATGTGTGTGTGTGTGAACTTGTGTCTGCATGTGTTTGTGTGCATCCACACCACATCAGCAATAGCTGGGAAAGGGGCACCCCGCTGCTTGGTCTTGCATTCAGAGCTGTCTCAAGACATGGTCCAGGCCTGGCTGGAAAGATGCTTGATTGAAAATGAGCTGGAGGTGATGACTGACAGAGCTGAACATGAGCAGCTTGTGCCCAGGCAGCCAAGAAGCCAGCAGCATCCTGGCCTGTATCAACACCAGTGCGGCAGCAGGGCCAGGGCAGTGGTTGTGCCCCTGCACTGGGCACTGGTGAGGCCACGCCTCAAATCCTGTGTTCAGTTCTGAGCCCCTCACTATATGAGAGACATTGAAGGGCTGGAGGAGCAGGACCTGAAGCACAAGTGTGATGAGGAACAGCTGAGGGACCAGGGGGGGTTCAGTCTGGAGAAGAGAAGGCTCAAGGGAGACCTTATCACTCTCTAAAACTGCCTGAAAGGAGGTTGTACTGAGGTAGGGTTAGTCTGTTCTCCCAAGTAATGAGTAATAGGACCAGAGGAAATGGCCTCAAGCTGCACCAGGGCAGGTTTAGATGGAGCTGAGGAACAATTCCTTCCCCAGAGGGTGCTCAGGCATTGGAACAGGCTGCCCAGGGCAGGGCTGCAGTCACCGTCCCTGCAAGTGTTCACAAACTGTGTAGACATGGCCCTTAGTGATGTGGTTTAGTGGTGGCCTTGGCAGTGCTGGGGAACGGTTGGACTTGATGATCCTAAAGGTCTTTTCCAACCTTGTTGATTCTGTGATTGTAAGAGGGATTGGAGAGACCAAAAAGGGACCCCGATATAGCCATGGCAGTAGGATCATGTCAGGGTCTGACTGGAGAAGACCCCAGTGTTGGACCTGTTTCATTTGTGATCCCAAGAGTGAAATTAAGACACAAACAAGGTCAAGTACCACAACTGATCAGTTGGTTTATTACAAAAATACAATTATTATAACAAAGGAAATTACTGTTAAAAAAAAGGAGATAGTGATGGGTCAGACAGGAAAAAAGATGGAAATGAAGCAAGAATTCAGGGTGCAGAGGGAGAGAGAGTCTCCACTGTGGGTCCAGCGGGGGTCCGTAGTTGGTATCAGAAGTGGTAGGAGTCCTCCGTCATCCGTAGTCGGTATGAGAGCAGTGTCCCCAAGAATCCATAGTAGTCATCAGAGGTGGATGTCCTCATGAAGGTGTCCTGATGGGGGTGTCCTTGTGGAGTTGTCCTCATGGAGGATGTCCCAGTGGAGGGTGTCCTCATGGTGGTGTCTTTCCTGGCGATTACCTTTTCCCCCTTTTATTATGAGTTGGGGGTAGTATGTCTATTCTTAATGTAATATTCCTGGTGAACCAGTTTCGCTGGCCTTGCAGCCAGCTCTTCAAGTGTCTGCAGCATTTCTTGGGATAATGGGCAGCAATTCCTCGCACCAATCCTCAAGATAATGAACAGAAGAATCTTATCTCAGCTCTTCCCACCCATCTCTCAGGTAATGGACATTGGGGTCAACTCTTCCCACCCAGCTCTGAGGCAATGGTCGATGGAATCCCATGTCAGCTTCTCATACCAACCTTAGAGACAGTGGACGGTGGAATCTGATTTCAGTTCAGTCCCTCACAGATCCCCATTCCTCTTCAGCGGTGCTGGCTCACACTGACCTCCAGTGGTGTCTGCTGACGTGGCAGCACATCCTCCCGTTGTAGTGAATTGCAATTCAGCTGCCCCCCGTTAGACATCCACAGCAAGGACACCAACTGTCCAGCAAGGACACCCACTGTCCAGTGGGACCACAGGGAGATGCACGGGCATCTGCAGGAGGGCACCTGCTCCTGTCAGGATCTGGGCAAGCTGTCTGCATTCTCACTGTGCCAGCCTCCTGTTAGATGCTAAGGGGAGCTGGGGGGCTGTCTGTGCCACACTTGCAAGGCTGAGATGCAGGAGCTGAGGCTGAAGACAAACAAAACAAGGCTAGATCTGAGGTATATGTTGTAATCCCTGGCAATGAACCAAGGGAGCTCTTTGTTTCAAGAAATGGTAGTTTTCCCACCATTTGCCACATTCTGCTTATCAAAGTGAGTTAAGCAGAGAGCCTGGGCTTGCTGTAGGGCTTGTCAGAGATAATGATGATGAGAGCTTATAGAATTGGTCTATTTTCTTTAGTTGCCCAATGGCAGTGTTCTGTCCCATCCTGTGTCTTGCCTGGCCTGCATTTTTACTTGACAAGCACTGTCTTCAGGGAGAGAGGCTGCTCTAGGACATACATACAAAGGAATAATGCTGAGCCAAGATGTTCCCATTTCTTTGCTCTGTACTGTTTAAATGCTTATTTTTTAAACTTTTATGTTGGATCTGCTCATTTTTAAGTCACTTGATCTGGAGCTGTTTGACCTAATGGCCTCTCCAGTTATGCTTTCCCATTTAGAATACGTGAAACTCTGGGCCAGCCAAAATTCCTGGGAATTCTCTTCATTAAAGAACACATTCCACCCGGGGGGGGAATTTTTATAAATAATTATGAATTGGCTAAATAATTAATTAAAAAAATCTTTTTCTCCATTTCCTAACTCCTACACAGCCAGAAATGATAAAGGAGACTAATGGAAGAGAAGACCTACCTGCATGCAATTAGATTCTGAAAGCACAGGAGGCTACTGAGGCTGGGAATATGGTAGAGGGGCAGATACTTGTGGATAATGAGTTACTGGCACCTGCTTTGAACCTCATATGTCAGGGCTTTAATTGATCCCTCAAGATTAGGTTACTCCTTGCCCAGGTGAATGTCTTGAAGGTGTTTCTGTGTGACATGGCCCTCCAGAGGCAGGAGGTCAAGGAGAGCTGGTGAACTTTAAAAGCCCATGTGATGAGCAAGAAGTCAGCCAAAGGTGGCAGGAGGCCTGTGTGGCCTCGCAGGGGGCTCTAACTGAGCTCACACATGAAAAGGAGGTGTACAAGGGATGGAAGCAAGGGCAGGTGGTGGAGGAGGACTATAGAGACGTGGCCTAGCACATAGGCGTGGGGTTAGGGAAGCCACAGCCCATCTGGAGCTGAATCTGGTGGCAACAAGAACAGCTTCTACAAGTACATCAGCAGCAAAGGGAAAGCAAAAGAAAGTATGGGCCCACTGCTAAATGGGTCAGGGTATTTTTGGATGCTCAGTGCTTGGGACTGAATTCATCCCACCCAGGGAGGCTGTGTGGTTCAGAGCATCTAAACTTCCTGATGCTGCTTGGCTTTTCCTGGTTTAACTTGGGATGGGATATTGTTCTATCTATGCTAGTCATGTCTGTGGTACACCAGGCATTTCTTAGGCTGAAAAAAAAAAGGGTGGTCCAACCTCAAGGGGCTCAAAATTGCAGAGCAATAAGCAGATGTCTAGAAGAGGACAGTGCATTAGCACAGATCTGAGCACTCCTGTCCTGCTAGTTGAAACCCAACTGCAATGTTAGTCACTGAAGATTCAGTGTCTGCAAAGGCTGCTAACACAACTGCAAAAGCAGGCACTTAGCATCTGTGCCTGCAAGGAGACAAAGGGAATGTGGCTCTGACAGGCTGATGAATCCCTGGAGGAGCCACTCTTGGAGAGGTCACAGGAATGGTGATACCCCAGGGGAAGTCAGGACTGCAGAAATCAAGACACATGGGGAACAGCAGTGAGGCAACTACAGAGAAGGCTGGAGGAGGGTGCTTACAGCATCATCATGGATGGGGATGAGAGGGGAATAATAGTGGGGTGACTATGAGGAGGGCTTCTGGCCATGATTCTCTTTCTAGTAATTAGGTTGTCATGGGTATTACAAGTCTAGCAGGGTTCAAAAATAACTTTGTCACCTTCATAGGAGTCCATAAAAGCTATTGAAAGCACAGACAGCACCTGTGGTTCAGAAAGTCACTGATTTTTCCATGGCAGGAGGCTGGCATGGTAGGTTCATGTGGGCAAGGCTGGCAGCATGTACATCCCATCTCTCCTGAAGCATGTGCTGGAGAATGGATCTAGCTAGATGCAGCAGGGCCACTCTACTCGTTTTTGCAGTCTTCCTGCCAAAGCCCTGCAGTAGTGGCATCCAGGTGGTTCTGGTTTGTGCCTCTCTCTGGTCTCCTGGTTTAGTTTAACCTGGCTGTTGGGCTCAGCATAGTGGTGATGGCATCAAGCTAGCTGGGAGCCAGGTGCCCGATGCAACAAGACAGGGAAGGAGAGGGCAGTGGTCACTTGCAGAAGTTGCAATGCTCCTATTTCAGGCACAGTTCAGGCTGGTGGAAGGAACAATGAGGCTTCCTGGCAAGGAGAGCTGCTCCATCCCCATGTGAGCTGTGTTCTCCTCTCACTGGCATACCTGTCTCCCTTTCTGCCAGCTCCGTTCACCGCCCTGATCTTCCCTAAGCTCCCTCCAGTTTATATTTCCATTAATGAGTTGCCAGGTGCGGAGATGGGATTTGGCTTTCCTTTGTACAGAGATAAATGGTATTTCCTCAGCCTGCCTCCAGTGCAATTTTGATCAGCAATGATGTTTACTCCTGTTCAGCCAGCCTTTCAAGCAGGGAAGGACCCTGATGCTGCAGATCCTAGCCAGCATTTGGGATCCAACATTTTACTCTCTACCTCAATATTCTCTTAGCAAAAAAAAAAGAAAAGAAAAAGCTGTGGCCGCTTGCAGGCAGCAGTTCCGGGAGGGTCTATAAAGGCTCCTCTGACCTCTGCCCCCGCAGCGTTCTAACGGCCTCCTTCATCATCATGCCCAGTGCAACTTCTCCTGACAATAGCAAGAACATTTTGCAACGGTCAGACCCTCCTTGCACACCACTGGCATTGTCTGTGGCTGCAGGGAGCCTTACCGGGCTGCTCTGCTCCTACACCCAAAGCCATGCCAGGACATCCTAGTGCTGGCCAAGTCAGGGCAGCAGGTTCACACCGTGTTAGTTGCCAGAGCCAGCTGGCAGAGGTAAGTGCTGTCCTATGGAAAGGACTGGTAGACTGTGGGCTGTCACCCATCCTGGAGTGCTCAAATCCAAAGCAAGATGCTATTTCATAAGGCCCTGATTCCCTTGTCCCTTCTTGTGCTATTAGCAGCTCTAATATATGATCATTACTGAAGAGTATCCCATAGAGATGAGGCTGTTTTGAATGATTTTGAGTAATTCCCCAAGAATTGACAGTTCTGTAGCTGGTAGGGGGCTAACTCAGCACCCACTACAACTCTGCTTCTCCAGCTATGTCTTTGGAATACTTTCTCCCTCCTTCAATTATGACAGTGGCTGTTGCTGCCGGAAATCCTATTATTACCACAGTTTTCCCAGTAAATGACTCATGGGACATTTAGCTAGGTCTTCCCACTGATATACACAAGGTGTGTGTGTAAAAGCTCTGCATTTCTGTTTCTTGCACTCTGTAGTACTTCCACCAGCATGTACAACATTTCCACCAGCCAAAGTGCCACGGGCACAGGCCAACCACTGGGCACCGCTTTGTGCAGAGAAGCAGCATGTTTGATGGGCAGTTGAGCCATGTCCAGGCTGATGCTGAAACTTCCTTATGTTTCTTCTTATTTTCCTGACACAGGAGATGGACAGTGTGGCCATCCCGAAAGAGAGCCAGTGGGACCAAGTCAAGTCTCTGCTCTCCTCTGTGTACAAGCAGGAGGAGCTGGACTGTGTCTTCCAGCTCTGTGGACTACAGAAAATTCAGGTAGAGAGCTGCCAGGTGCAAATATCTGTGGTTCTCCTGCACCCTCACATAACTTGTACTCCCCATCCCCACTAACTCGAGCTGGATGTGCCCCTCTGTGTGTCTTGTGACTCTGCGTGGACAATACCTGGCATGCCTCTGTTAGTGCAACATCCAGATCAATGTTACAGGGGCTTGTTCATCTTCAAGGCACAAACCCCATCTTCTTTCTCTTGGTTTGCTCTGTTTTTCTGTGCTGCCTAGCCATGGAGGCTGTTCTTTACCTGTATCAAACATGGGGAGATAAGACTAGCCCAAATCTTTCGGATGAAGGATATCTCACTAGGCTGTGTGCTTGCTCACAGGCTGGCCAGGATCTCAAACAGTGGGAGGGATTACCCCCTGCTATCAGGGTGACAATACCAAGCATGACCTAGGCTATGCCTGTTTCACACACTTCAGAAGACCCTCAAACTATTTAAAGCCCATGAGAGAGGCGGAATTGCTAGACCCCTGGCTTGTCTCTTCCAGCAGATTCTCTCTCCTCAAATAGCAGCGAACACCTAGTTTCTCATCTGATTTCTTTTTCCCTCTAGCACCCAGGCAGTGGATCTTGCCAGCTGCTCATCTGCTCTGCTCCATGCAGACTCCCACCAAACATTGCTCTTGAGCTGCTGCCTCGATCTGCCTACAATGAGCTCCATTTGCTGAGTGCGTGACGTGCCTTGGTATATGGCAGCTCTTACAGTCCTTGATTGTTCCTGGAGCTCTTTTCTGAACCCTTCCCAAGCATTCAGCATTGCTTTTAAGTGCAGATGGGAGACCTGGACCATGCATTGCCTTCCAAAATCTTCTTGCTCTATTATACATCTCCCTGCTTTATACAGTCAGGCATCTGAGGTACAGCCCCATGCTCGGGTTCATGGCCAGGGGTTTGGCTGCCATGAATATGGTTATTTTCTGATTTCTTCATCTTTATAAAAATCTAAAATAGTCCTAAGCTGCAAACAGATCCCTGCAGAGTGCTGCTGTTTAAAACCGTTGGCTTTTACTGTGCAATATGTGTTTAAGTGGTTCTGTCCCTTCCCTTGCATGCTTTCCTCTTGCATGCGCAGTAGTCCTGTGCCATGGTCAAGACAGATGTTGTGCCATTCTTTGCATGGGTGCAGTCCCCCTCTAATTCTGCTTCCTGTGCCAGAGTCTCAGAGGTGATGCTCTCAGTGACAGTGCCCTGATAGGGCTGATGAGATGTCCAGTGAGGTGGCTTGATTTCAGGAGAAGTTCTGAAATCAAGGAACCGTGTCCGAGTCCCACAGATATCATGAATACATGTAACAGCTCGTTTTCTCTGACAGTAGCATTGCTCCATCATGCCACAGCATGGGGCTGTGAGCCTGCAGACCAGCCAGCCAAGTCTGGCATTTCTGTTGACAATAGCAAAAGCAAAAAACCTCTGCTTCAAGTCTTAGTCTCCAATTCACATTGCGACATTTGCTCTCACCTTCCAGACAGACGTGGTCCTGCAGTTGGATTTGTGTTACACCCAGCTGAGCACAAAGCAGAGGATTTGTGAAAGCCTGCAGACAACCCTCCAGAGATGTCTGCTAGGGCAGTTTTTCAGCCAGATGGATTACTCCCAGCCAAACTACTGGAGAACTCCTGCCTGTGCAGGTGGTGTGTGCCTCCGGGACGCAGTGGCACTGAGCATGGATCTGAAGGGACAAGCATCAATGAGGACAGGCTTTGGCCACAGCTTGCCCAGCAGCAACCCCTCCAACTCCAGCAGTGAGCCAGAGGAGAATGATGAGAGTGACCTGAGTGACCTCTGCTCAGCATTGCTGCGGGCTGGCCCAAGGCAGGACTGCCCCTGACCCCATGGGCTGACGTGCCCAACCTTAGGAACTATTTTTAATAGAGATAACAGTTATTTGAGTGCTAAATACATCAGAGGGAGAATTCCAGTCTTGGCAACCGCCCTGTCCAAATGAGGCCAAGGCTGCTTTCTTGGAAAGGATTCTTGCATCTGCGTGCTGTGGCATGTGAAGCCCACTGGAAATAACTCCATCCCATGGGAGAGGTGGGGATCAGCAAGGAGTTGTTGTCACATTTAGCAGAGGACAGGGCCACCCCACCATTGCCAGGAACAGCATGTAGCTTAAAGGGCACTGCCTGATGCATTCTGTGAATTGTGCATTGCCTGAAAGCCAGCATGACAGCATTAAACATTATGAGGAACCCATAAACACTACAAACCTGTGGAGAGTAGTGATGCAGCCTCAAAACCCAACTACAGCTGCCGGCTCTCATCGCACTCATGCAGGGGTCACAAGGCTTGAGCAAGGGAAGCAGATGGAATTATGTGAACATATAAGCTCTCCCTTGGGGTTGCAGTGTGGTTTTCTTTTCTTGCAAGTCCTGCTTGTGCCAAAGCAGGTTTTAAGTTATGCATTTATGTATTTCTCAATAATGTATTTATACTTGGGGCAAGACAATTGCTTTCCAGGAAAAGGAAGGTCAGATATTCTGTCAAGTGTGTGTTAACGGAGGCTGGTTTTCCACCAGTAGCAGCCACTAGGCAGGTATGTGTCCCTTCCTAGCATGGTACACAGGGGCGTTAAAGGGTGTTAAGTCCTGTGCAGTCCTGAGTTCCTCTCAGATGCAGAATTTCCTCCATGCGAGAGATGTTAAAAACAGGGTGGAGGAAGAAGAACCTCAAAAAAGTTATTATTAGTGCAAGATTTTTTTTTTCTAAGTGCCCGTCTGTGCATTCACTGTGGGCAACATCATGCACTGCCTTTTGTGGAGAGCCAGCTGTCCAGAGAGACCCACTGGTGAGCAGGGCCCAAAGGACAACCCAGGTGAGCACAGTCCCCTCTCTGCCTGCTTCTCTAATATTTGTTTGATAAAGGTTACACCATAGGGCCAGGTGATTGCTCAGCAAGGGCCTGGGAGGATTATCAAATAGTTCAACAGAGACCAATGACCCCATCACCTCCATCCCAGGCACAGCTACAGGTTGGGTGGAGAAGTCATTCGGAGCAGGCCTGCAGAGAAGGACTTGTGGGTGTTGGTTTATGAGAAACTGAATGTGAGCCAGCTTCAGTGTATGCTTGAGCCCAGAAATCAACTGTGTCCTGGGCTGCATCAATAGAAGTGTGACCAGCAGGTCAAAGGAGGTGATACTGCCCCCTGACTCTGCTCTCATGAGACCCCACTTGCAGCACTGTGTGCAGTTCTGGTGTCCTCAACATAAGAAGGACATGGAGCTGTTGGAGCTATGGGGATGATCAGGGGCTGGAGCACCTCCCAGATGGAGGCAGACTGAGAACACTGTGGCTGTTCAGCCTGGAGAAGAGAAGCTGCGTGGAGACCTCAGAGCAGCTTCCAGTGTCTGAAGGGGGCTACAAGGGTGCTGGAGAGGGACTCTTCATCAGGAACTGTAGTGATGGGACAAGGGGGGGGATGGGTTTAAACTGAAACAGGGGAAGTTCAGGTTGGATACAAGGCAGAAGTTCTTCCCTGTTAGGGTGGTGAGGCCCTGGCACCGGGTTGCCCAAAGAAGTGGTAAATATGTGTAAATCCCTGGCAGTGTTCAAGGCCAGGTTGGACAGAGCCTTGGGCAACATGGTCTAGTGTTCCCTGCCCATTTTAGGGGGTGTGGAATGATCCTTTCCACCCCAAACTATTCTATGAGTCTATGATTCTCAGAGGACAGTTCACTCTGGACTGGAGAAGGTGCTAATGAACTGATCTGAGAGTTGGACTAGATCTCCAGAAGTCTCTTCCAACCCTAATGCTTCTGTGATCTGGCAGGGTGCTGGCTTAGAGACTGAGTTCTCTTCTTTCTGGCTGTTGTTCTCTGAAAGAAAGACTTGAAGACTTCTTGAGAGGTCAAGGATGGTGGGGTGATGAGAGCATCCAAGCCCTGTCTTCTATCTTGGTATAAAAGGGTGGTGTTGAGAGCATTTTGTAAGTTGTGGTTCTTCAGCAATGAAGATACTTGAATCTCTACCTATGGTGTCAGTTGCATCATGAAAAAATAGGAAATGTTGCTTCCAGATGAACCCTCCTGCAAGTGCTGGAAACCTGTCTGAAGAGAACAGGGGAGTCTTTTACTCTCTTCACAGTGAGTAGAGCCAAGGGTAAGAAAAGGGGCCCCATCTGGCTGAAGTCTAGAAAGTCTCCTACGAGAAAATGTAAAAACAATGAATAATTGACAGAATGTATTTTAAATAAGATGGTCTGAGGGAGAAGCTAAACTAGAAAATGATGAACTAATAGAAGGGAGAACCAGAGATCAGCTCAACACCAGTAGAAACTTAAGACAGGTCAGTGAGAATATCTGGGCAGGCATTTAGGAGCTGTGAGTCTCATTGTCCCTATGAGGATTGTATACACCCTTCTATACTGTTGGGGCAGAATGTGTTTCTGTCTCATCTAATCATGGCAAATGTCACCTTGTGTGAATGTTAATCTCATTCAAAGTGAGGCTGTTTTATTTTTTTCTGAATAAAACACTGCTGGTGTTTTTGGATGCAGAAAAGTTTCATGCAGCTCCAAGTGAACTGTCTTCATTTTATCCTCTAATCTATGTAATTGCCAGGGTTTGACTTTAATATTGACCTGCTGTGTTATTACTGAGTTCTGGGTTCTTGTTGACCTATCGGGTTCAAAAACATAAGGCTCTTGTATGTTTCTTTTTTTAGGTAACTGCATATTGAAGTTGGGATTCAGAAGGTGGATCAAGTGACATGAGATAGGATGAAATAATGTCACGTGAAACGTGTAGCTAAAATGTCAGGACTTACTGTGAATTATCCATCTCCTTTGTAAAGTGGGTGTCATGGTTTAAACCCAGTCAGGCAACTCGTTCACTCTCTCCCCCCCTTCTTTCCCTCCCCTACTCCCGGAGGGACGGAGAGGAGAATCAAAAGAATGCAACTCCCACAGGTTGAGATAAGAACAGTTTAGTAACTAAGGTACAACACAAATCCCTACTGCTACCACCAATGATAATGATGATAAAGGAAATAACAAGGGAAGAGAATACATCACCTCACCACCAGCCAACCAATAACTCGCCCCCCCAGCCTGACCAAGCACCAACCAATACCTCCTCCAAGCCCCGCAGTCAACCAGCCCCTTCCGGCTAACTCCCAGTTACCTCCTGGGCATGACGTGCTGTGGTATGGAATACCTCTTTGGCTAGCTTGGGTCAGGTGTCCTGTCTCTGCTTCCTCCCGGCTTCCCCTCCTCCCTGGCAGAGCATGAGGCTCACAAAGTCCTTGGCCAAACCAAAACGTCATTGTTATCGGCTCTGTTCCCAGGCCAAAAGTCAAAACACTGCACTGCACCAGCTACCAAGAAGGAGAAAAATGACTGCTACTGCTGAACCCATGACAGTGGGGCTGGCTTTTGGGTGGCTGGGTCCTTCTGTCCCAGTGCCAACCATAGGACTTGTCCCTGTCACCAGCTCTTCTGCTCCTCCAAGGAGACCCTGTAGCCAAGCCCAGGGCTACCACCACGTTTCAGTGCACCTCAGCTGGTTATAACCAAGAGCACAAGCACTTGCAAAGCTGAATTGTAAAAGTGGAGTTTGAATCCCAGGCTTCTGGCCATGGCAGCCTGGTGCCCTACTGCCAGCTGGATTCATTGTAGGAGGGGGTGAAACTATGTCTGCCTTCATCCCCCTTACATGTGAAATCTGAACTCCCCCATGGTGGTATAACTGTTTAGTGCCAGTCAATTTTCAGTTGAATATATGCTTTCATATCCCAGTATCGAGGCTGGGCAACTGATCCAAGATAACTGTGCTTCTCTTGATCACATCCTTCCTGATCTCCATCCATAGTCCTTGGGGGCCATAAGCTCCTTGTGGCCAGCCTGAAGAGTAGGAAGGAGGGAGCACCCATCTCCATGCAATGCACCATCATTTCATACTCTGCTTACAGCATGCCTGTGGCCAAGTAGTCCCAACAGCCTCTGCCCACTCAATGTTTAATTCCTCTTGTCATTGCTGCTCCTTCCATCCATCCTGACTCCTGGACAAGGCTGTTTAACCCTCACATCTATGTGATCTGACCTCACCTCTTCCTGCCACATCAGTTGCTTGTTCTCTGCCATGACACTGACCTGCAGCAAGCAGCCATTCTTCTCACTGTTTCCCTTTCCCATATGACAGCGTATATCGTGCCCACCCTGCTGTGTCATTTCAGGTTATCCCTCCCTCCCTATTGATTTTGAGTACATTTCCATGCCTTTTCATACATGGAAGTAGCATGTGATAACTCCAAATATAAACTCCTGGAAATTTGATGCTATTCCATTGCATTTCTTTGCAGGGACATAGCCTGCAAAGATCCTATGGCTGGACAATGCCTAGTCTTCATACTGCCTTTAATAAGAAAACCAGACCATTACTTAGTGTGATTCCGCGAGAAGGGCTACAAGACCCGTTAAATGCTGGGACTCCTTCAGTAGATGCATAACTGCAGGCAAAGTGGCACCAAGAAATCAGCTCTAATTTACATTCCTTCTCTGCCTCCATACCTTCATTTATCCATTCATAGCCACAGCCATTACGCTTCACTTCCCACTGTTTCTGTGCCACTCTCTGCCCAGAGGCTACAAACAGCATTTAGGAGCATTTATGCAGGCAATACAGTTGCTTTTCCTATGTTTTCTTTGAGAAGCACCAAGTGAACCAAAGCTTTAAAACATTCATTAATCTCTGATGAAAACAGCAACACCAAGATCATTTTATTTTCAGATGGCTGCCCTTTTTTTCTTCTCTGCTAACACAGATGTACTGAAGGGAAGGACCTTGCTCAACAGCCTGTTGTGCTCTTCTACAGAGTTTGGTTGGATGAAGTTTTCAGCTCTTTTGTTGGTATTTGGCAGTTTCCTGACAAAACAAGGCAAGCCTGCCCAAAAGGCATGAGAAAACAAGGCAGGGATATGCCAGTTCTGCCTGGGTTTTATTTAGATACTGGAAAATCACTGGCCCAGCATGCAGTCAAGAAGCATGTTGCATGTGCACTGGCATATACACCCAAGCCTGGCACCCTTCTGTTGGCAGCAGATCCATTAAGATTTGTTCTCAGTTGGCTTTTTTATGACCAAAGCAAGGAAATGGGAGATTGGTCTTGGATCAGCCACTCACCAGGCTCAACCAGAGAGAGAAAGCATAAGGCAGGTCTTTCTGCATCTGAAGAATCAGTCACACGAGTAAACTAGCAAGTTAGGGATAAGAAGGCAGCAGAAGCAATGAGTTCATGTCTCAGGCCAGAGAGGGACACAGCTATGGAGGTAGATGACACCAAAGCATGTTGCCATGCCATGAGGATCTTCCTGGCACCTTTGGGTAGCTGAGGCATCTGCATGTCACTGTGAATGTTTCAGACACCATTGAGGCATTGCTGCTGTGTGCTGTTCCCAAGTATGCAAGAAGTAGCATGGAGGCAGGGCAGAAGATGGGATGTTTCTTGGTTTGTACAGCCCCTCACTAGACACTGAGCCATCCCTGCTGGCTCTGGGCAACAGCTGTCTCCTATTGGACTCAACAAAGGTGCTGATACAGAACAGAAGGGCTGGGGCCTACTGGTGGGTACCTGTGAACATTTCCATCCTCTATAGTGGGAAGACTTATTTTCTTCCTTGCCTATCTAGAGTGTGGAACAGAGGGGCAAGTGCCTCCATCATCTCCATCATCTCTCACCATAGTC